TTTTCCCACTTTAGTAGTTACTTGTCCTCTAGAAATTTTTAGTTCAGATCCCACAGGCGAGGAAGAGAGAACAAAAAAGCTTTAGAAGGTAAGAGAGGTTCATTAACCCGAATGGGAAAAGATTTACATTCTAGTCTATTTTGTTATTTTCCGAACGATACAGGAAACCTGCCTGTAACAACGATAAAAAAATATTTAAAAGTAACAATTTCTTACTTCTGAGTAATTGTAGCAAAAAAATGGAACAATAATTCTTTATTTTTACTAATAACAATCATTGTTTTTCTTTTAATACAGCGAGTACGTTTAGAACTAATAATGCGAGGAACATTACTATTAATACCTTGCCTGGTCGTGGTGGCACTGGTTACGTTAACCGAAGGGAAATTTGTTGCCTCGAAGAAACAGGATCAAGACACGGACGATCACGCTCTCGACACGCACGAGCACGAATCTCACGATAACGAATCTCACGAATCTTACGAATCTCACGAAGAAGACGAAGAGGAAGAAAAAGGCTCATTTGATTCGGAACGCGCGGCGTCGGGATCTGGTAAAGTAGTTTTTTATACCATTGAGAATTCGATTTGTAAGTTTTCAAAGCGTCTGAAGTAAAATGGGTCAGAGCCTGTTTTAATACAAAAGTTTTTAAAATGGATTTTTAAAGAACAGAAAAAAAAATCGATGTTGAAGTTCGCTATGGATTGAAACACATAGCGCGAGTCAGTGGAAATATTAGAGCGCGATTATTTACCACAAATAACTTTCAATCCAGTTCAATTCAGCGAAGAAAAACACAACGAAACTGAGAATGAGTTCTTCGCACTTATCTATCACCTAGATCACTGTTGGAAGTAAGTCAAAATGTTTTCACCATTCTTTTTCCAATAAAGTGCAAAGAACCTGAACAGTGACGCAAATCTAGTCGGTGCCAAAACTACCAAACTAGCTTTGGGGCGTGTTCCACCTGCTGATTTTTACCACAGATGGGAAGAGTACCTACAGAGGAATCACGCCTCTTTAATACGGCCACTTTTCTCTGGCGTAAGAACCCTTTTCAATAATGCTCAGTTGGATATGGCCAGTGCTTGATAAACATTATAAGAAATAACCTTTTCACTTGTTTTGTTTTTTAATTTGTTTGATAGGGGCAAAGGACGCTAACGGTGGTTATCCCGGCTACCCCGCTCCGTATCCCGCTCCCATGCCCGGTCCTGCTCCCGCACCCTATCCCTCTCCGTATCCCTCTCCGTATCCCTCTCCGTATCCCGCTCCGCATCCCGCTCCGTACCCCTCACCTTATCCCTCTCCATATCCCGCTCCCATGCCCGGTCCCGCTCCCTATCGCATACCCGTTTCCCACCCGTCCCCGTCATCGTCCCCGCATCCACCTCTTCCTCCAAAAAATAACAAAGAAGAAGAAGGGAAAAAAGAAACGGAAACGGAAGAAATCCTCCAAAGACAAGAAAACCAGTGACGACAAGAAGGGAAACGAAAACTGAAAAGAAAGCACCGCGCACAAGAAACAAGTTCATTTTGCACAAGTAGACTAAGTAACTGCTTACATCATGCTGTAAAATCTAGTAACTTAAAAATTCTCTCTCGTCAGTATGCATGTAAATAAATAAATACCATGTAGTGCAAAATATCAGTGTCATAAATGTTTTATGGAAATATGATCGAGTGTGATGTACAAACTATGAGTGGGAGGGTAATAGAGCGATTTTTCGGCGGCCATATTGGTTTTTTCAAAGGAGATAAAATTTATTGTTTGGGACTGAATACCAATATGGCCGCCAATATGGGGGGGAAGCCGTCTGTCTTCTCCTCAGTCTTTTCCCCTCGGCTCGCTTCCTCACGCCCTTTTCTTTTTGCCCTATCCCAGCCTGTTTACAAGCTACCCTTGAAGTTTCCATGTCGGTATATGAAAGGCCTCAAGTGATGATATTGAGCACATGGTCCACAAACACTGCGTACATATATAAACCAACTGCCTGACAGAGAAAGGAACATATGCAGTTGCGGTAGACGGATGCCCGACACGCACGCACATTAAAACATGGCGGCTTTTTCTTTGTGGCTATGCTCGCTCGCCAGGGAGGTAAATAAACGTTTTCTCGTAAACGAGCACGGTGACCTATATTTTTTATTGCATAATTTTGATGTTCAAATTATCCTTTTTAAGTTAAAAAAATAAAATAAAAACATTTTCGGAAGGAAAAAAAAGATATCGCTAAAAGCGTGCACAAAACCGTTACTCGAGGGTGCAAGTTATGACCTTGAAAACATCGATGCGAGGAACGTTTTTTCAAGTATAACTTTAAACTTTGCTTCTAGCTACCGCGAAATGTTACATGAACCGATGAAATAACTACGCGCGTGATTAGTACCAGTACAGGCATAAATAGGGTAACATTGGTCCATCATATCTCTTTTGCGAGCACGGTGACCTATCTTTTTTATTGTATATTTCGAAACAGTGCATGGTAGGGAACATTCAGGGAAAGTTTCAAAAAAATAGTTCGACAACTTTTATTTCTGAGGAATCACATTAATCCGAATGTGAAAATAAACACTGCATGGGATAAACTTAACGTCGTAAATATTTACATTCTAGTCTTATTTTTTATTTTCCGAACGATACGGGAAACCTGCCTGCAATCTGCCTGCAACAACGATTAATAAAAAAATATTGAAAAGGGACAACTTCTTCCCATAAAATCTAACTGTTATTGAGTAATTGTAGTGGGGAAAAAATGCGAACAAGAATTCTTTATTTTCCTACCTATAATCCGACGACCATGAAACGAAATGGGTGTGCAGCTCGAACAATGAGCCTGAGTATTAATGCCGTCCTTAAGAAGTTACATTGTTCAAACATAATCCTACAGCTTTCATAAGGTACAAATGCTACTCAGGCTACAAGCCTGTGCACCGCCAGATACGAAAACCCAACAACCCAGTGGGAAAAAATGGGAATAATAATAATTTAATAATAATAATTTATTGACTTGATATAGCGCCTTTTAACATTAAAATGATCAAAAGCGCTGGAACGTACTCCCCGACCAAATGCAGGCGCACCAACCTTTGGGGGTTAAAGGTAAATTACAAAGATAACAGTTTAGCTCCGCCGAATGATAATATATATAGATGTTATTGAACTAGCGTGAGGTCCGTATTGGGAAAATATTGGTCGAGTTCTTTTTTTGCAAGTTTATGGACCGAGCCGAAGGCGAGGTCCATAAACTTGCAAAAAAAGAACGAGACCAATATTTCCCAATACGGACCGAACAAGCTAGTTCAATAAAGTTTTTATTATAATGGCTTTTTAAAAACCTTGCTGATAAATTAATGCAACCATTCTCGGCTAACGCGCGCGCGCCAAAGCTAAGCATATTCTTGCATTTTTCAGGCCACTTTGCGAAAAGTTTAACCAAAATTGTCCGCCAGACATGAGGAAAATTTTTTCTTCTTAATAGAAAACAGTTTTCTTTTGTTCAATGTTTCATAAAAGGAATTTGGCGAAATGAGTTCGTGAGCGGTCCATCTTTGCGGTCCGTATTGCAAAATTCGGACCGCTCAGGGAACCAATCAGAATGTTCCTTTTCATCGTGGACCAGTTTGCCATATAATAACAGTTACTAATAACAGTTACTAATAACAGTTACTAATAACAATCTTTGCTTTTCTTTTAATACAGCGTGTACGTTTAGAACTAATAATGCGAGGAACATTACTATTAATCCCTTGCCTTTTGGTCGCACTGGTTACGTTAACCGAAGCGAAATTTGTTGCCTCGAAGAACCAGGATCAAGACACGGACAATCACGGTCTCGACGCACGAGCACGAATCTCACGATAACGAGCCTTCTTCTTCCTCTTCGTCTTCTTCGTGAGATTCGGGGTTTCACTGTACCACTGAGAATTAGATTTGTCAGTAATTTTTCAAAGCATTTGAAGTAAAATAGCTCAGCGTCTATAATATGAAACTTTCAAAATGGATTTTCTCATATCCAACAAGGGCGAATGGAATAATTGTTAAATAGAACTCTTTGTTTCAACAGCCCATAGTTCTATGGTTGGCACATTAATAACAATTGAATAGGCGGTGACAAGTGACGAGAAATATCGCTATTTGAATGAAATGTACAATATTTAAATCGGGCAGTCGCTTATTGATGCTACATTTTTATAGAGCGAACAATACAATAGCCGGTGGGAGGTCAAGTCCGTCTGCGACGCAGGCTAACAATACAACAGCATTAAACTGAGGCATCGCAGATCAAACTTTGGGTCTTCCAAACTCAAAAGTGTCATGAAGTGTCAGTCTATAAATTTATAAGGAGGACGATAATAAGCAAAACTGTTTTTGGGTTTTGGTTGGGAAGCAATATTCTGACCATCACTACAATTTCTTCGCGCGCCATTTTGGTGGTCGCGAAAATATAGTCCAAAACAACAATTATTCACATAAGACCATAAGTTTCCCACAGACAATCCTCTTTGATTACCACTGTTTGACTACAACTAATCCGATCGCTGCTATTTTAACTACATTTAATTTTACAAAGGCATTCAATTCGGGCTTGCCTTCAAATTAGTTCCTCCATATTTTTGACCAAAACACGGGAAGAGCGGACAAGACCCAGGCCCACTCCGCATCACGGAGCGGACGAAGCAATGAAAGCGCGTTGCGACGCCCCGTCTAGTCCAGTTCTGGCCCTCTCTCTGTCACGCAACGCTACGCTCTCGGAAGAGAGTAGCGTTGCGTGACAGAGAGAGGGCCAGAACTGGACTACGCCCTGTCACGCCCCGGAATAAATCGATGTTGAAGTCCGGCATGTTTGAAACGCGCAGTGGGTTAGTTATTATACTGGCTTAACTTGGAAATATTAGTACGCCAATATTTACCCCAAGTACTTTCAATCCAGTTCAGCAAGGAAAAACACGACAAACGAGAATGAGATCTTCGCACTTATATATCAACTATTAAATTCAGGCTCCAGGGGATTCGAACTCAGATGATATTTCCGATTCCAGTGCAAACGCTTTACCACTAAGCTATGAAGCCACTGGGAGCTTGTTTATTGCGAGTTCTAGTTTTACCGCACAGTTCACACACATGATTTGTTTCATATATTCATCTCCGAAAAACCCTACATTATACTAGATCACACTGATTGAAAATTAGTCAAAATGTTTTCACCATTATTTTTGAGTCGGTGTCAAAACTGCCAAATTAGCTTTGGGGCGTGTTTGACGTACTGATTGGTTCCACAGAATGGAAGAGTATACCTACAGTGGAATCCCGCCTCTCGGCCAGCCGGGCGTAAGAACCCTTTTAAATAATATGGTTGGTATGGCCAGTGCCAGGAGCCCATTGGCTCCTGCCAGTGCTTGATAAACATTATAAGTAATAACCTTTTCACTTGTTTTTTTTTTTTAATTTGATAGGCTGGTACTCCGCTCCCTATCCCTCGCCATATCCCGTTCCTTATCCCTCGCCGTATCCCTATCCCTCCCCCTATCCCGCTCCTTCTCCCTCGCCGTCTCCCTATCCCTCACCATATCCCGTTCCTTATCCCTCGCCGTGTCCCTATCCCTCACCATATCCCGCTCCTTATCCCGCACCCTACCCGTCCCCGTATCCAAACGCTCCCCCCCAAAAATAACGAAGAAAAAGAAGAGGAGAAAGAGAAGAAGGAGAAATCCAAAGATAAGAAAGCCAGTGACGACAAGAATGGAAAGGAAAACTGAAAAGGAAGCACCGCGCACAAGAAACAAGTTTATTTTACACAAGTAGACTAAGTAGCTGCTTACATCATGCTGTAAAATCAAGTAACTTGAACATTCTCTCTCGCCTGTATGCATGTAAATAAATACCATGTAGTGCAAAGTATCAGTGTAATAATGTTTTATGGCCGATGAATGTGAACGAGTGTAGTGTACAAACTACGAGAGCGAGGATGATGGAGCGTTTCACGGCGGTCATATTGGTTTTCTTAAGGCGGGGGTCCACCTGAATGCCATTTTTCCGCCACTTAAGGTTACTGTAAACCTTCGAGGGTGCCTTCCGGGAAATCTTTCCTATGCGCCTTGTTTTAGAAGAAACCCTATAAAACTATATATCACTGTAAAGGTAATAGAATGAAGAATCCGATAGAAGCACTACTTTTGTCCGTTTTTGTTCTGTTAGGCGCGCGCAAGCCTTCGAACGCAAAACTGATAGTGTCTGCTTAACTGAGTTACAAGCCTTCGCGTTACCGCGGACATCAAAACAATCTGGCCTATATCATACAGGAGATAATGGGCTAACAAAGTGTGTGACAACCTCGTTCCCAGGGTCTCTCATCTTCCCGCCCCCTGGAGCGAGAGAAGAGAGACCCTGGTCTGGTCTGGTCACGTGCATCCCAGATTCTGGGACGTAGCAAATAAAAGATTAGTGGGAGGGGCAGATGAGTGTGAAATTTGTCTCCACTTTGCCTAGGGGTGAGCGGAAAGTGTTGTAAATCAAAATAACCGCATGTGGACGAGCTTTCGTGGTGAACATTTTGGCCGTTCCGAGACGCCAAAAGACGATTAAAGAATTTGAAGCCTTCAAGACCGCGATCAAGGAAAGCCAGGGTTCTTAGATGTATCGAAATATCGCCATCTGTACAACGCACATTTGATCAAGATCCGCGAAGACGAAGGAGTTAATCGAATCCAGGACAGGAAATGGGATAAAGAAAATCTTTATAGCTTTTATTTATTCGGCGGCGATGTTTTGCTAGATTCTTTTTCTGGTTATTTGACGGTCTCGTGTATTTCGTCGCTACCGGCGGCGTTGCGAAAATGATAAAAGGTGACAAAAATAATGATCACCGACCAGAGCAAGTCTCCGCGATCGGTATGAATCCTCAAGAAAATTCAACCCAACTCCAGGTAAATTACGTACTTTTGCTTGTTTCTGTTTGTTTTTATTGCACTAGCCTCACCTTTACCCTTAGGATATATAAACAGGAAAACTCGACATGCATTTTACATATTTCAGTGTGTGATGTGTACGTGATGGGTTAGATTTTATCAGGACCGCTACCCACATTTTCTGCGCCAGCATTAAACTCGCACCCAGTCCTTCTCGCTTTCCGGAAAATATTTTTTTTCCTATATACATATATTCTTAACAAGGGAGGCAGCTCCGAGCGCAAAACATTTGAACCAAATCCGAAAATCGCTTGAATCACAACTTTCCTTTGCTCAACCTCGTTCCCAGGGTCTCTCTTCTTCCCGCCAATTGCTTTTCATACAACCAGACAAACCAAATGTGAAGTCGATAGATTGAAGTACAACTTGCCCGATTTTTTTTTCGATTACGTTTGCCACAGTCGGAGAATGTGAACGTCTTTTCCAAAGTTTTTCTTGAATTTTTTTTCGCTACATGATCGTACCGTAAAGCTTCCAGTATGCGCCATCACTCGCCATCCTTCCCCCTCCCACACGTGTTTTTTGACGCGACAAATCTTTACAAACCCCTCCCCCTGCTCGCAGCAAAAATCAATTCACTGCGCTTGGTGATTACGCTAAAATGTAGGGCGACATTTTGTTTTCGATCGATCGGAAGGAAATCCGACACGCGTAAACTGCTGCGAGCAGGGGTTTGTAAGGAAAATGAGAAATATTGTAGTTTTAAAATTAGAATTTGAAGTTAAAAATTAGTAGATTGACATTGACAGACAGTTTATAACAACGCAAGAGCACCCGCGTGGGTATCAGCTGTCTGTTAGTGTTCCAAAAATTATTTCCTTTCTTCTATTCCTTCTTTAAACCTCTTAAAATTTCCTTGAAATTTAGGTGAAGTCCCCCCTTAACCACTACCACCAACATGTCTTCGAGCGAGTGATTCTCACTGCCAAAGTGGTATGGAGAAATTTAGGTGAAGTCCCCTTTAACCACTACCACCAACATGTCTTCGAGCGAGTGATTCTCACTGCCAAAGTGGTATGGAGAAATTAACGTGAAGTCCCCCTTAACCACTACTACCAACATGTCTTCGAGCGAGTGATTCTCACTATCAGTGGTATGGAACAGGCAGTCTCAGTCCCTTTCGTCTTGATCACGTTGAGGGGTATTCCCTGAAGTGATCAACAAGTCTGCATGTTGATTTTGAATGGGGGGGGTTGCGTTAGAGATGAAAAGTTGGGATCGTACGAGCGCCGAAGGCGCGAGCTACTAGGTTGGTCCGGGGGCATGCCCCCCTGGGAAATTTTGAAAGATTAGGTTGTCTGAGACTGCATTTCGTGCGTTTTGAAGGCAGAATGATATGAAACCAGACAGCCAAAGCGAACGTAAAAACATGAATATTTCTGGAAACTGTTCAGTGTTAAAGAAAATACCGATGAAAGAATACTAAAAATACATATTGCAGACCTTCGATTAAAGACACTTTTAGGCCAAAGGAGTGAATATTTAGATGAAGAAAATGACTCGCTTGATGTTGTCTTTGTCGATGAAGACGATATGTAAACACGTTCAAAGCTGCGATTGTTTTGATTCAGACTTCATTTTCAAACTACACCTGTCCAGTTATCGAATTAGAGCACAAGCACTACTATTTCACTACTATTTCACTTCTTTTAAACCGTCGGTCCACCTCCACAGCCCGTGGGGAGGGGGGGGTGCGGACGCACCCCCCTCCCTACGGGCCTACCCACTGTAGAGCAGTTGACGACACGTGCATGATGTAGTATAAAGCCCCTTCCACACGAGCAAGTTTCCTTGACAAGTTCTCCTTGCTCGTGTGGATAAACAACAAATTTAATTTGCCAAGTTTTTCCTTGACAAATTTTATTTGCTCGTGTGGACGATAAACACGTCCACACGAACAAGTTTCGCAACTTGGCCAATTTTTCCTTGACAAGTGTCCTTGTTCAAAAACTGGCACGCTTGTTTTTGAACAGGACACTTGTCAAGGAAAAAATTGCCAAATTTACCTTTCCACACGAGCAAGGAACACTTGTCAAGGAAAGCTTGCTCGTGTGGAAGGGGCTTAACAGGTTCTCTGAGGCCGCACGGTTTATTCTGCATGACAACTGACAGATCAAGAGCAAATACAAGGACTAGAACATCTGAAAAAACTACTGTAAATCTGACAGAACAATAACAAGAAAAAACTGGGGAAGTACCAACGAGGCATCCATAGGATGAAAAAACCCCGCCGCACTCGTTACGGTAACACAAGGGAAAAACCCCAGCCCTATGGATAGTACTCCCCGACCTGCTGGGCTCGGTCTTACTGAAAGCAAATATTCAAAATTGTCTTTGTCATTATCCGTCCATGGAATTCTCACTCGCCCAAGGACATGCTTTTAAAACGTCTATCGGAAATGCCAACGTTGGCAGCAGCAGTGGCTCCTCCGGCTCTAATTCTTAACTACGAAGACTATTATGCTGGAAAACACCAGTAAGTATATATCCCTTGAAACGCGCACTCTCTGATGTGCGGTAAATCCTCGCTTAGGTGAATATCTTAACAGCAATTTATTGTTTCCAGCGCCTTCGCAGGACAGGTTTCCTTGTCTGATCGTGCAATTGCATCCACGCCCCATCAAGGAATTGATTTTCGTCCACAGAGATTTGCTTGTGGTGACCAGTCTTCACTGCCATCATGTTTTCTTTGTCCTGCAAACAACGAACAATGACTCTTTACTAACAAGAAGCTCATAGTCTAAAAACAAAGCTGTCAGTTACTGAGGCTGTCACACAAGTCACTTTAATTTCTGTGCGAGTTTGCGCGATTCGCAGCAGTTAAAGCCCTGGTAATTCCCCCATGAATGCCATTATGTTAATGATGCTTTGCCCTGGTAATGTAGCTTGTAGAATCAAGATTAAGACCGAATCAGCCCAGTTCGAATCGAGCGAAATTAACGCAAGCAAAAAAGCTTATAATTAACTTATATTAACTGGCAAATTCAATACTATGGGTGGTGCACACACTCCTGTTCAAGCTTTAAATGTGAGTAAAATCCATTTTTTCAGGCCCTATTAAAACAATGGAAAAAAGTGGAAGGTGTATTTCTATATTATCAACAA